CCTTATTTTCATTTATCAGTCAGCAAAATAGGAAAAAAACTGATTAATTATGATTTGGAAAAAATATTCCATATTAAATGTCAAGTCTGTATATTCGTATTTAATCAATTTTCTTTTTGTAATCCATTTAACAAACATGCCTAGCACCTGCCCGCTCTTCCAATGAGTTTCCTTCCACATCTCCTCAGGCTCCAAGACAATGACAATGGGCTCCACGTGGACTCCACGTCTACCTGCTTCCCCAGGTCCATCTCCACTTCTAATATGATAAAGGTCAAAAGGAAATATACAATTTCAGATTTATGTCGTAATTATTATTATTATTATCATCATTATAACAAACCATTATTATAACTCATTCAAGACAAAATTTATTATCTATGATGTGTGACAAAAGGGACTTTACAAAGCTTTACGTGTACATAGGCACCGTTCACATGAAAAATCTAAATTCTAAAAATCTAAAAATCCATTGGCGGTATCTAGTGATCACGGTCTGTGCCCTGAATAACCCGCGGCGTAATTAACTAGCAGAGCGAGCGAGTTACTTCCAAAGCTGTAATTAATTCTCGGCTACTCTCGGAGGAGATTCTGGCACCTTGACGCATGCGCAGTAGTATCTCTTAACTGTGGAGTTCATCAGATTGCACTCATATCTGTCGTGTGTATATATGGACCTCATCTTCTTCGTCCTGTTGTTGCATAAAATCGACAAACACATTTTTCAAAGCACCTTGTTTTTAGGAAAACATGGTACTAAAAAAAGACGGAGTTTGTGAATTATGTTAACCCATGATCTTTAAGGTGCATTTCTGGTATGTGAAAATACTAATTACTCCGTATTGAACGAATCAAGTCACTTGGTTTATTTCCTTCTTCATTTCATACAATTAAATGTTAATTGTTGCACGTGGTCTTGCGACTTTTGTCACAGTACCAGAAACTTGATGTTACATCACTCATTAGTACTAGAGACTTGAAATTTAATTTGGAATATTTTTCCATATAATTTTCTTTGATCTTTTCTTACTGTTCTAACGTATAAATGAAGTCAATGGCTTAAATATTGTTTTAATAAATTTTAATAATGTATTCACTGAAATTGTGACATCAACTATTCAATTGAAATCATCTAATCAAGCAAACGAAAATACATAGCTGATTCTAAGTCATACAGCAACCATTAAAAGCATTAATTATTCTTATATCTTATATTCAACATCATCCCTTGCAAAGAGTTTTAAGCTTCACAAAGGACGCTCATAGCAGTGTCTAATCACAGCAACGGTCAGTGGTGCGTCTTGCCTCATCGGTTACTACTAAAGCAGCAAGCTTTTGCTTTATTCCAACCGGTTTATTGGTGTTGGAACTGGAATAATATTTTAGGCATTGATCAAAGCTTGGCCCAGTTTTGTTGTAGGGAACAGTAAGCCTTTGCTTCGGCATGTACTGGCCACACACATATCGGATATATTACAGTCTAGCTATCTTGATTGCCGCGGTTCCTGCTCAGACCCTTTGTTCCACAAGTAATTTGTAAATATATGTTCTCTGCGTTGACGGATATTTTATCTTGTGAAATGAAATTGTTCCTGATTATCAGGAAATGGGAAGCTTTTGATTTCCAAAATATTCTATGACCTTGGCCCCGAGAACAGATGCTCCCACCGACTCAAGTCACTCTATTGAAGCGACACACGCTTAGTCGAAGGCCTCTTTAGAATATCTGTGAACTCGCATTTGACCACCTTTGCGGCACAGCTAAACTCTGACCTCATAAGCAAAAACCATGTTTCTAGTGCTGTACTCAGAAACGTAAATGGCTTCTAACTCATTGCAGAAATAGCCGACAGAGGGCCACAGAGGGTCCATCAGATGTTGCCTGGTATAGTAATTTGCTTAAACCAGACTGGCGATGGCAATAGGCCTTGAAAAACGATTTTTGTTTATATCTACATGTAGCAGCAAAACCGTGAAAAAAATGGATCCTTTGCCCCGGTGTTAAGTTCTGGATTTCATGGACGTGGCCTCTATTTAGGCACAGGAGTCTGGACGTACCTATGTAAGGCTGTGTGAAGCGTCCCTTACGACACAATGATCTGTCTGGAGCATATCAACAATGCTGAAACTCTGTTTCGTTCAGTTTACGCAACGTAGCATCCACTACTTGCAAAATTTCAAAATCATCTGTGCAGCCTTCTGCCGAAATATTGGATTCTTTGACAGAACCATGCTCTTTCACTGTCTTTATAGTCAGACCAGTTCAAAGAAATTACCACACATTAAGTAATGCAGCAGTGCTTCAGACAAGGCAGTCGGTTACCTATTATTGACACACCTGACTACACATCTATTTTCATAAATGCACTAAGGATATACTTTGTAGAAATAAATGACACATTTTTATCTAGACATGACTTTGAAATTGAAATATTATTATAAAATGTCTAGTCTGTAGTGCGGCATTACAGGTGACTCCATGTATGACGGATGACTGCAGCTTTCGAAGCCTCCATCTCTCTCCCTCTCGCTGACAATTTGAAATTTCAAACTTTGGTGAATAATCTTCATGATGCAGCGTATTACATATTACAACGAAGCTTAAAAAGCATTCATGTGGTCACTGATAAACATCAATTTACACATTTACATTTATTTGATTTTCAAATGAGGAAGAAGAAAAAATAAAATAGCTATTACAGGGAGAACATTTACGAAGAACACTAATAAACTTGGATGAATTGCAGTAAATTCAGCTGTTTATTTCCACCCTTTAAATTTGATATCGGTTGCATTATTGATTTATTATCGATTAACGATTATTTTACTTGCTCTTAGTCCCCGCATAATAAGATTTTTGATTAAATTTTATCATTCTATTACCACGCCAGTAGTGGCCTTGTGATTATGAAAATGTATACCTATAAAGTTTATATTAAATTTGGTTGAGGGTAATACTAGTATAAGAAATACAAAGAAATACAATTCAATTTGCCATGGTGAATAAGAATAGAAAGAATCACGCATACACAAACAAAGGATAACAAGACATCACTTTGAAGGAAAAAAGCAAAAAAACATGTAGTAAAGAGTGTAAATATCAGTAAATGACTATAAGGCTGCGTTCACATGAAAAATCTATTTTCTAGAATTCTAAAAATCTATTTGCGGTATCTTGTGATCACGGTCTGTGCCCTGAATACCCTACGGCGTAATTACGGGCAGCGCGAGCCAGTTACTTTCTAAGCTGTAATTAATTCTCGGCGCTGCCAGTAATTACGCCGCAGGGTATTCAGGGCACAGACCGTGATCACAAGATACCGCAAATAGATTTTAAGATTTTTAGAAAATAGATCTTTCATATGAACGCAGCCTAAGCACCACAAATACTGTTGAGTAAGTATTGAATAAAACCAACGTTGATGATGTGAATAAATCACCCAAGAGGAACTTTTTTTGTATTTTTCGTACCTGGGAGAAATAGTATTTTAGTGAGATATATTTGAATATTCTGCATTCAACAAGTTTTTTGTTGTATAAACAAGCACCTGGTTGTGTTTTATTCATGATCCGCCTCGTGTCTGCTGTCCTCAAATGGTAGTTCTGCACGTTCTAGTGGGTTAATCTGTCCATGGGAAACATTTTCAAAGAAAGCGTTAATGTACTGAATTTGAATGAAGTTCAGCACAAGTAAACAAGGAAACTAATTATGTAATAGAAGTTAAAGTTGGCTCCGTTACATGAATTCATTTCTTTGTGAAGTGTATAAAACGAGTGGATAGAGAAGCACGCTAAATATTGAGGCCCAAGGGGCAGGAAGACGTCTGGGGCGGGTAAGTGAATTACGCTTTATTTTATTTATTTATCACATCCTTTATTATTATTGTTTTAAGATTGAAAATTATTTTTACAAGCATGATGGTCTAATTGATTGATTGATTGTTTGTTTTTATTATTTTGTGGTAAGTTTGTTGGTGATAGGGACCACAATTGTATAAATTGTCTTAAATGTTAATCTTGGTATAATATTGTACCGGTGTATGAAATATGATTGTTGTTTGGAAGTCTAAGCAATATGAGTTTTATCGATTCTGTTATAGATCGCAAGTCTTTGCTTTATTGGCATTTTATTATTATA